TTTAAAAGGTTTCACTTAGTTTCACTGTGTCAATGCACGCAAATATGTAATCCACATTCACAAGACTGCTTAACAATTATTGTGCCCCCATCGCAATGCATTTTTCATCATCATTAGTAAAGAAACCATTTAGTGGATAACTAAATGTAGTACACATGAGACTAATTTACTCTTAGTGTGTGTTTAGTACAAATAGAGGCCTTAAACTTCAAGGATGACCTACACTAAGAAGTACTAAACAATGGAGCTGAAACGGGAAACGCATTGACTTGTGACAAATGATTTTAATTTTGTGAAATCACTTAAAGTGCACCCTTTTTTCTATGACAAATTGAATGAAGACTTTTGTTCTCGTTGGTGCTCTAGCGATGGGTATACTCCAGATTACTTCAACAGTTCAACGTAATAAGTGTTGTTGTTGCAGGAATTATGAAGAAGGTACAAGGGTTGAAAAGCTAAAGGCACTATGACGAACCTCGACATGACGATAGTTCTGATCATCATGAGGGTGGTGGTGTAATTTTTATCAAGGGTGGGATACGCGAGTCCCACTAATGAAAACAGCTTTGAGTCCATATCGGATTTGAAAATTAAACTATTGACTGCTTGCGATTCGGCGTAACCCAGTCGTTTTGATTGATTCAACTTCAAACTGAGTTAATAAGGTTATATTAATTTAAATTTAATGGGCAGTTTTGTAAATGAAAACACGTTAGAACTCTTCGAAGCACAAGAATAGAGCCGTAGTTTCCAAAAATGCCTTGACTATTTTAAATGCATTTCAAAAACATGATATGCATTTTTTGCGCTGGAGATGTGCGTGTTGATTTTCGCTAATTCAAATAGTAGAGAACCACGCAAGTTATTGAAGACTCAAACATCGAATCAAAACGGGAAAATCAATGGCTTGGATTCAAAGTTCTTCGACTTATTCATTTCTTCCTCTCCCACTATTCACATCTTCTTGTGGACCTTTTCCGACGGCGTACTGAGTTGCTCTCTGTCAATAGCACTTCCACAAGTTCGACTAAGCCTTGGAAAGTGCCTTTGCTTGATCGCAATCTGATTTTAATTTTAATCGGCTTTTTTATCAATTAAGCAGACTTCTCATCGTTTTGTTTCTGAAGACTTGTGCATTCTCAAATGCCTTTTGAAATCGATATTATAAGACATTCCAAACTACATGGCACATTATTCAGCACTCCTACAGCCGTCGGATGATGCTTAATGGACTTCAGGTCTTGGATCGAGAAGCGAAGTAGACTATTTCGACTAATTCCTCCTTACATTTTGACCTATTCGCTTAACCCTACGTGAGTTTCCTTCTCTTCCAGCAGACGCCATCTTTCTACTGCTCAACTTTCTCATCTCTCATCTCCCCCCCCCCTCCTTCCTAATTCCACCATTTCCATTTGAATTAATCAACATCTTCAAATACACCCCACTGTACAAACACGTGCTTTTCTTACTGTCAAACCCAGTCAGGTGTCAGTTGGAATCGGCTCTAATGCGGCAAATCAGTGATGCGTGAGTCCTTAACTGCTTTATTTTCGCACAAACACTCACATTATCTCAAGGTTTCTTTGCAGATTCCAAACAGCATTGTTTGCTTTTCATTCACAAATTTTTGGCATAAAATATTCGGAAAAATGTCCCGTTTTGCAACCCTGCTTCTTCATCAACTTATTCTGAGAATATAAATAGCGTACTCTTAGGCCTACATTAGAAGGTGAAGATCACCGAGGCACAAGACGATTGAGTAACGAGGCCCAGAAATAAATATAATTAGCTTCTTTGCCTTGAACTGAAGGTTATATCAGAGAATCAAAGATCGTATAATCTCTTGTAAAATATCCTAGTGCTCAGATGTCGGATAATATATTCAACTGAAGGCGATTGACCTCTAACTTTAAACTTCCATGCGAACATACATCCACCAATCAACTCACCTTGACTCGCTCAATTTAAAACTTACCACTTTGCAATCTCAACATCACTTTGGTTTAGATAGGGAAGGAGAGAGAGAGAGAGAGAGAGTAACAGGAGTGAAATCGAATTGGGAGTTAGTGAAGGAGGCGAGGAGGGAGGTTGAGCGCTAGATGAGAAACACAAACGAGGGCCCAACAATTCCAAAATAGCATCTGTCCTATTTGAACATTTCCATTCTTAATCTAAATGAAATGCACCAGTAAAGAAGGCTACTGCACAATCATGGTCGTCGACAGAGAACTTATCAGGCGCTTGCAAGCAATTGGTATTTGGCCATGGTCTAATCGACTCTCCTCCTCGTCCCTACTACCGTCGCTACAATAGCAAACGAGTCATGCATTTTCCACATACAACCACTTCCAAGCTCATTGCCCCTTGTACTCTACTCAACTTGGCAATGAACCAATCATTCAACCAAACCCAACCAGAATGACAAGATAGGCGATGGGATATTAATAAAGCACTTTATTTATTGGGAAATTCAATTTGACGATTAATGTTGACTTCACAACAACTTGCTCTGTTGAGATTTGTTGAAAGAGTGAATTGGGCTTCTCAGTAGGGTCTCTTGCCTTCGTAATTGCCGCTATATGTAAAAAATAAGTGAAGCTAGAGAAATGCTTGATGTATTTGCCCTGGGCAACAACAAACTGAAAAGTGAGTCCACTTACCCTGGGCCGTAGTTGCAAACGAGATTTGCTACATCAAAACCTCTATATTTACACGCAGCTACGCCACATCCCAAATGCGTCGTGGTCGCCCAAACCATCTGAGGAAAAGATAAATTCGTGCTTTAGAATTTCCGTCCAAATCGAGCCACCTGAAAACTATCCCAGTGCTCTGCTCACCTGTGTGTAATGGCCGCACATTCCAGCTCTGCAATAGTTGCTTTGGTAATCATAATTCTTATATTCATCAAACCAACCTCGCACAGCTCTGAAAATAGAAGTGAGAATCACATAAAAAATATTGCCTACTTTGCCACATCAGCATCGACGGCCCAATTCTGTCCAACCCATTTGTATGGTGGTGTCAACCTTGCCTCATCTGGATCATGTCCATTTGGACATCTGTTTGCCCAAGCCTGAGCCTTGGCCGCCAAATTGATGTCCCAGATCTACAAAAGAAGAGATCAACAAAATACAATCCTTTTGAGCACTCCTATCGTAGAACTGATCTTATCCCAATATGACCACTTCAATCCTTACTGAATGGACAGTCTCTCTTAAGATTAAGTGCAATCTCAGCCACACCCCACCCATTCAACACTCCCTTCGACTTTGACAATTGTTGGTAAGATGTAGTAAGCGCGGTCTCTTCTGCAACTAATTGAACACTAGCGAATGCTTGCTCACTTGTCGAAATTAATCTGCACGTAAGAAACACGATGTAGAAAGTAACTCACCAAGTCAGGCATGGCACCGCTACGAGGTTGACCAGGAATTTGGCCACTGGCCAATTTGCGACGGTACTCGTTATGCAT